CACCCCCGGCCGCCCCCGTGTTGGCCACCGCCTTTTGTCGTCCGCTGCCCCGGCGGGAAAGACGTCCCGGAGCTGACAGAAAAAGCGTCCTTTGCCGAACCCGCCGAACCGCCGCATGGGTGCAGCGCGGCGGCGGGCGATCTTCCTCCTCACCCTAAAGGTTGCTCTGTGAGCCTCGCTGTAACTACCGATAAACGGAGCGCTGGCGTTACGAAGGGAGTTAAAGGTTTCTTGGGTCTTACTGCGCATGGTGCTGTGCAAAGGCTCAGAGGAAGCAAGAGCTCCTCACTTTTTCCTTCAGGTATGTTTCACAAGGTTGCTTCCTGAGGTTTGCAAGTGCCCTTGCTTCTTTCACTGTGAAGTGTCATGAAAACGACCTGTTTCCTCACCTCAGAGCACGGACGCGACCTTGTCTAAGCTCATTCTCTTGGGAAGTTTGTAATCGTAATTCTACTCCGTACGGCCATCCTCTGCTTTTTAATCCTTTGCCAGTCATGCTGCCCACTTGTTTACCTGCATCTTTACCTGAAACAATTAGCACATACTATCAAAACAATGGAATTACTTTCTTTGCCTCATACTTTAGAAAGGCACAGCTGTAACACCAAGAAAGCTCTCTGTTTTCTGTACCAAATGGTGCAGGCAATTTCCACCAGCAGCAAACAGAAGAACACTAACTGGCGTGGCCAGGGAAGACTGTCTATGTAAAAGTTAAGTTTGTGGTTTTATTTGCAACGCTTGGCATGTTCCTGTAATTGAATCAGCCTAGTGCCAAATGCTGCTTCTTCACTCACACTGGCTACTATTTCTATGCTCAGGTATGTGGAAATGAGTGGAGTTCCACTCATGATAAAGAGCTTCTTGATATAAATAGTTGCTTCTGGTTAAATAATTGAGCATTTATACACAACGTGGTGATTTCCTAGTGTTCTGTTCCCCCCCCTCCTCCCCCTTTCTTTATTAGTGAATTTGCTATTCAAGCACTGGGTGCCATAAAAATGAGAAAATAAAGATACTTCAGACCTCTATAGTAAAAAAAAAAGGGAAGCAAGAGGAAGAGTTAAATCTACATACAGTGGTATGTAGACCACTGTACGGCAGAAACACCCGAGTAGTGAAAGGTATACTTAAGTCTTAAAAAGACTGCAAGGTAATTTTTGACAGCAGCTGGAGTAAATCACAATATTGCAGAATCAGTTCAGTAGAGACAGTGTAGATCCTGACTCTCAGCTACAGGGCAGCCATGCACTAGTGATAGAAAAAGGACTCTGACAGGACTTTGGTGCCAATGATACATACATAAGGCAAACAAAAACAGTCCATGTCTACTGAAATTGTGTGAAAGTTTTAATCAGGGCATGTTATTTTAACCAATGAAAAGCATGAGAATCACATCTAAGGAAAAATAGGCTTTCTACTCACCTGTTTAACTCACTTGTTACTCCAAGGCTATGTGATAAATAAGATAACCAAACCGCAAAATATTCCTTCACACTGCTTTCAGAAGAGGCTGGCATTTCATACAAACCTCAAGAAGTAACACTGCCAAACATCCATGAATGACAAAGTAAGGAGTCCTTCCTGATTTTTCCTGCAGTTCAGAAAAACTCACACCGTGCTATTAGGGAAAAGAAGGCTTCCCCCAAAAAGGCTGCCTTTGCAAATTCATAAATGCTTATTCTCCGAACCAAGAACTGAAAACCCACCCATAAGAGAAAATAAGTTATTTCAGTTGAAAACTGCTAGCTTTGGAGCTGGAATCTCAGACAGTGTTTTCCTTGTGCTCTGACTATTGCAGTTGCTGGCTGAAGGCTGAAGTTTTACTGCTCAGTTTACGGTAGCTTTAAAGAAGCTGTTACACAGTTGGAAGTGACTTCTTCAGGTTTCAAAGTTAATCATGCGAGGATAAGTTGTGCAATCATGACCTTGAAACAATCATTTAGGGAGGCATCATGCCTTTCGTAACTGTATTACATATGTGTGTTGCTGGCATATTAAATATGCATATAGACATTGACAAAATGCCAAATAAATACAAATCACTTGGCAAGCAGGTAGACTTTACAAGCACTGCAATGACACTGATTTCTACAGTCAAAAGGAAAAAAGAGAAATGTTGAGAGATTCGGAAAGATAATTGTTAGTATGCATAATGTGTAATCAGCTCAATATTACTCAAAACCAGCTTACCACAAAGGAAAATGTTACTCACAGCAGATTTTCTTAATTTTCACTGATTTGACTCCAGAGAAACTGAAGTTCTTCCATAACATTGTTTTACAATTAGAGCAAACAACTCAGTGCCACAATGAAATGTAATTTAGTACAGGTTAAAGAGCTTTGGATTTTGAAAAACCTGTCAATAATTTTTTTTCCGCAGAATAGTCTTAATGTATCATGTTCTGATAAAGTAGGTGCAGGTGTTAGTAAAAATCCTCATCGTTAGTTATGTTACTGCTTTCACTGGGGAGGATAGACATCATTGACTCCTGTAGGAAATCACCAGGGATGCCTGCCAAGAAGTCTGGAATATCATAGGATAACAGGAATATTTGGGGATACAGTGGCAAGGATTTGAAAACAAAACAAAATCATACAAATAAACAAAACAGGCAGAAAAGTTCTAAAATCCTCAAGCTGGGTGATAACACAACTGCAAGAGCAGCGGGCTTCCAGACTCCAAAAATACCAGTTGTTCACAGGCCACTTCTCCTACCGACAGCACCTCACAGTAGTTATGTGCCAGCTCTGGCAGTCTGCTTACCTGTAGGGGAAAGCTGACCACTCGGTGCTCTCCTCCCAAATACTAATTGCCTATATCAGGGAGACTTAACCTTAGCAGGGGAGAATATGGCTTTGTGAAAGTCTGTTTCCTCCTCAATTACTTTTGCTTGGTCTGGCAAGAAATTAGGCTAGTTATCACTGGGCAGGGAAAAAAGTTATT